CCCAGCTCTAACTTATCTCCATTTGTCATCTCTATCCATCCTCTCTGCCCCAATAAGTTTACAGAAGTCTCATGTTTTGGAACGTAATGAGATCTCCAAAGACAAATACTGAATTCTGTGTGGTGTAACAGGTACATGCAGCAATCATAATACCATCACCTGAGGCTTGCTATATAAGCCAGAATAAATAGTGCCTTTGGATCTAAGGGAAAACATACAGCAAGGGCTGATACAAAAACATTAGTGACAGATTTAAATGTTAAGGTTCATTGGGTTTTGCTTCATTTTAAATTAAGCCCTCTAAAGCCCTTTGCTGCAGAAGAAGTCCATTTTTGAACCCTCCACCATTACCTCCAGCAGGCAATCATATAAGCTGCTCACCAACAGCACAGAAACACACAGCAACCTGCCCTGAAGGCCAAACAAATTCCATCCTCACCAACACTGAGGCTTAACAGGGCATGTCACTGTCTGCAAGCACAGCCCCTCCAACTTCAGCTCCCATCATCCTCACCAGGCTTCTCTGGATCTCATTCTCCCCATCCCACACAGCTCCTCCACAGCACGGGACCAAGAGCTATGCGTGCAGCGCTGCCATGAAATCAATTCAGCAAGAGAAAAACTCCAGGAAATGCAGGAACATACATTATTTTGCTATGGATCTAAACAGTTTTTCAGCTCCTGATTTCATTTTGTAACGTTCCAGGTGTGCATGTTTCGACTGCTAGAAAAAACGACCTTTCAATTTCACTGGAATCATTAGTCACACACAAAGGCAATCTCTTTTCTGATACAAGGCGAGATAAGCTTCTGCAGAATCCAGCAGTGCTTGTTGTTTGCAGCCAAGGAGTTTATTTGCTCACATGGCGCACGTTCACTGCTGGAGTCCATCCTGATGGTATTTATGCACGTTATGGAGGTCACCTTAATGCTGGATTTCTGTTTTATTTGTTCATAGTGAGCCATTTCCAATAGCATAATGTTGGCATACAAAAGCATCAGCTACATTCTCTTACAATGAAATGGAGCTGTGGTTCATAAATCCCCGAGGAAACCAAAGCTAAGCCCCACTGTGTTCCATACACTCCACTGTAGCCCATCTCTTCATCCAGAAATAGAGCTCAGTTACAAAGGCATTAATTTATGTCCCGCAAGGTTTTAACATTGCAGTTGCAAATATATATATATATATATGTGACTAAAAACTGAAAAAACCACTAACAGCACAGCTTCTAGTCTGCATTGTCCCTGGGACCTAAAAAAATCTGCACTCGTTTACTTGAATTAATAATTCAGGAATATCTCAAAATAAATAGCCTTCAGGTGTTTTGTTTTCCAGCACAGCAGTTGAGTCCCAAGTGCCAGAAACCTCACATTCACTTGATTCCCCAAAAGAAATGAATTAGAACAGTGGTAAATGTTGAGGAACGGGGAGAAATAAATCAGGAAGGCCAGGGAAAGAGGAAGGTACACACATAAGATATTTGTTTGGTCACTTTCACCGCTGCAATTTAATGGGTGTTGTTTCTGTGATGATGACAAATTGCCCTGAGAAACTCCATGTTATGCTGTCACATGTTCATATTTTGTACAGAAAACGATTCCTTCCTCTTTTGCAGGACGAGGTGCATTCTAGAAATGTAGATAAAAACCAACAGCGCAACCAAAATGCACACAAGGAGACAACACTGCATTGCAAAGCAAGATCCTCTCCCCCAAAGGGAAGGACATCAACTTTACCCTCCTCTCCCAGTTCAGCCAGCTGGGAAACTGAAAGGGAGCAGCCCAAATATCTGCTTGCCCCACCGCCCTCAGCCCGTGGCTGCACGGAGGAAAGCTGCAGCCGTCTCCCAAGAGCCACTCAGGGTGACGCCATCGAGAGCCCTGGCTTTGTCCCAAGGTACATTTGTGAAAGCCCAGCCTTTCACTGGAAGGTTTAAAAGTATTTCAGCTTCTGCTTAATCTTTTCTTAAGAAAGTCCATACAATTGTAAACGGAACATTATCTAAAGGTATCTAGAGACCTTCTCTGGCAGAATCAGAGGCCACAGAGAGCATTACCTGGAGAACAATGGTTATACTGAAAAATAACAACGTGGCTCAACTATGGAGTTGGTTGGTCAAATATTTGCAGAAGAATATATGCCACTGGTGTCTGTGTGAACACATTTCCTTCATTTAGAAAACCCTCATTCGATTTTAGGGAGAAAAAAGATGAAAATGTTGCTGGTCTGCATTGCTGTGTGCACTAAAAACATCTCAGTGCCTCTTAATTCAGACAGCATGTCATTAAAATAGCAATCAATCCTCAAACCCTGCTGACCAGAAAGAAAACCAGTAAAGCATCACATCCTGTTTGCAATGTGGATCTTTCACACACTGGAAACACCAGTGGTTATGTTCTACAAGGAAAAAACAGCACTGCTAACCAAAATAATTACACGATCTTAAAACAAACAAACTAAGAACAACAGCAAAACCCACAAAAAATCCAACACCTGTTTTGTTCACCAGGGATGCTTTCCCTCCCATATCAGATAAGAACACTCCAGTCTCTTCAGTCAATATTTGAGAAGGTGTGAAACCTCCACATTCTGTCTTCAGTAATATGCTGCTTATCAACACTATTCACACAACAGCCTGCTCGTTTTTTTTTTAATCTTCTTTCACAAATTAGAAGGAAAACAAGCAGTTTGTTACACGTGGCCTCTCCCTCTTTTTTGGTGTCCTTTTGCTGGACTGAAAAGTTAAATAACAACTAAAAGTTACCTGCCTCTGTCACCATGTCAGGCAGGGCTCTGCAGATGACTCAGGCTCCAGCTATTCTTGCCCTTGATTACAGTCACGAAACATTTTATGGGGATGTTCAACTCCAGGCTCTGCCAGGCAAATGACAACCTGACATACAGAGCAACACTGTGCATCCATTCTGTGGAAAAGGGAAGTTGTACATCTGCTAAGAACAGCAGCAATCTTTAACCTAAGACTTCACAGGGAAAAAGCTTTGCTAGCCATTTCCTTATTCCAGATCCATCACCACTGAACACAGGTTTCTACAGCGCAGAGCACTCAAATAAATAAAATCTGTCCTGCATGGAGGAAAGCTGCTAAATTCTCGTGCTCCTTGGCTATGAGACCTGATGTCTCAGGGAGACTCTGGTGCCATTTCCTCACCCCACAGCTCTGTCTGTGCTCTGTCTGATAGGAACCCTCTCCAACCCGACTTTCCCTGGGGAATACTGTAGCACTAGAACTCTGAGATTTACAATGGAATCCAGAGCTACAAAGAAGTTGGTTGAAATATAGAACTGTTGAAAGGAAGGAGTTGAATGCTTAACCACAGAACTATTAATTGCTTTATTTAGAGGATGTTGGTAGCTTCAGCTGAACAGAGTGATCAGGTTAAGCAGTTATTCCTCTCCACTCCCTCTTTTTCTATCCTGCTCACAGATACTGACTGGCAGCAAGGCATTGCGAGGTAAGAGAGATTGGGAAAAACAAAAGGAAGGAGAAGACAACAAAATAGTTCTGTTTTATTTGGCAAGTGCCAGAACTTACTGGGTGTGCTCTGTGACTAAGCACCAAGCAAAGCCCTGCAGGGGACAGAATAGGCAGCAGCAAAGCCAGTTCCTGCATTCCAGTCTGCTTTGGGCAGGACCTACGCACAGATTTCTCCAATGGGGCAGCTCCAGGCATGCTCAGAGACAGAGCTGGGTGCCTGGGGAATGCAGACTCCAACAAGGTGAGCTTGGGCACCCCCAGCACCAGGCAGCCACAGAGCAGAAACACTCAGGACTGTGATCTCAGCTCAGATTCCAGTTAAATCTCAGAATCACAGAATGACCAGGGTTGGAAGGACCTCAAGGATCACAAAGCTCCAATCCCCTGCCACATGCAGGGCCACCAATCTCCACATTTAACACCAGTCCAGGCTGCCCAGGGCCCCATCCAACCTGGCCTTGAACACCTCCAGGAGTGGATGGGGCATCACAGCCTCTCTGGGCAGCTGTTCCAGCACCTCACCGCTCTCATGGTTAAGAACTTTCCCCTGACATCCAATCTCAATCTTCCCTCCCTGAACTTTCCCTTTCTTTTCCCTTGTCCTGCTGTTATCAACCCTTTCAAAGAGTTGATTCCCCTCCTGTTTGCAGGCTCCCTTTAGGTACTGCAGGCTGCAACGAGGTCACCCTGCAGCCTTCTTTTCTCCAGGCTGAACAAGCCCAGCTCCCTCAGCCTGTCTTCATAGGGAAGGTGCTGCAGCCCCCTGATCATCTTTGTGGCTCCCCTGGACCCTCTCCAACAGCTCCCTGTCTTTCTTGTCCTGGGGACTCCAGACCTGGGCACAGTGCTGCAGATGGGGCCACTTTAAGAGCCAAAATACTTGAGTGGATGCTCCACTGCACATTCTGCTATAAAGCACAATGTTTGCTAGGTACACCGCACATAAAGGCTGTGTATTTTTATACTGTGTGTAAACAAGTGAATACCAACTGATCTTTTCACTGTAAAGTCAGACAGCAAATTCAACAAGCTGCGACAACCCATACGGTGCACAGTTCAGATGCTGTCCCAGCAGCTCTCTCCAGGAGCTCCGGGTCCCTTTGCTCCCACACTGCCCCAGCAAGGTCACCCTTGGTGCCTAATGCCGCGCCCAGGCCGCCTGCAGGGGACCTCCAAAGGCATTTCCTAAGCCGTCCGACGTGGAATTCAAAGTCACAGCTCCGCTGTTCTGTAGCACACCGTGCTGCGGGTCAGGAGACGCTCCGGGCCTGAGGGAGAACCTCGGGGCCGAACCCCGCAGCCACAGACGGAAGCGACCCCACCGAGGCCGGAAGGCGTCCGCTTGTGTGCAACCTCCCGGCTCCGCTCTGTCCCGCGCCTCGTCTGCCCTGGAGGACTTGCGGGCATGGCTGCGCGTAGTGCGCCTGCGCAGCAGTCAATCCATTCGTTCAGAGCAGCCGAGGCTCGGTGGGGGCAGTGCGGCGCTGGTGGGGCGGCCCAGCGTCGAGGGTGGGCCTGGGCCTGCGCATGCTGTGATAATTCCACGGAGAACCGCAGTCTGACGAAGTTCAGGGTCCAAAAGGTGCAGTACGGCTGCTGACAAGAGCACAGCCCAGTCATGGTTAGCATCATGGCGTGGTTAATTTCTTAAATAGTGCGCTGGGATGGTTGCCTTCTATTTGGAATTGATGAGGAGATGCAGTACAGTGAGCTCGCCAGGACACTGCAGTTAATTTAGGAGGTACTGGTAGCCACGTAGCCTGGAGTTGTGCAGCATCTCGGGGCGCCCTGGTGGGCTGACAGTGAATGGTTTGTGTTGTTTGTGTTTGGGTTTCCATATAACACCAGAGTCACTTTGGAAGTGGCCCTGTGAGGCCCAGAGGAAACCAGCAGCAGTCTGAAGGCCTTTAGGGCCCCAACTGGCTCCTGGTGTGGGACAGCCCTGCCTTAAGTTCCCTGTGTTAACATGTCCATGAGGAAGCAGGTGCTGCAGCTTCTGCTCACTTCAGGTCTTGGTTTGCTGAGACCTCTCCTCTAAGCAAGGGCTGAGGGACTTCTCTGGAGAAGAGAATGCTCAAAAGAGACCTCATTGTGACCTTCCAGTACCTGAGGGGAGTTTATGAACAGGAAGAGAGCAACTTTTTACACTTTTTACTCATTCTGATATTGGTAAGACAAAGAGGAGTGGCTTTAAACTAAAAGAAGGGAGATTTAGGTCAGGTATCAAGGGCGGTAAGGCACTGGTGCAGGCTGCTCAGAGAAGCTGTGGGTGCCCCATCCCTGGAACTGCCCATGGCCAGGCTGGATGGAGTGCTGGGCAACATGAGCTGGTGGTTGGCAGCCAAGCCACAGCAGAGCTTGGAACTGAATGATCTTTAAGGTCCTTTCTAACCCAGGCCACTCTGATCTCTCCCTGAATGCCCTCCCTCTCCACTGCTATTTTTCCAGGCTGATGATTCAGTGCAGTGATGACTGCCATACAAAATATATCTGGAAACCACTTTTTTATTGCACCTCTAAGAAGTCCACCCAACTCTTTGAATTAATAGGTATTGGAAATACCTTTAAGAAACGTGTGTTAAATAGCACCACTAAAGGTGCAAGCAGAGAATAGAAATGAGGAGTGCTATCCTTAAGTGCTTTTGCATGTTTGGTTAGATATTTCACAAGGAAACAGAGGTCTCTGCTATGTACACAGTGCCTCCTTCATGACACATGCAGGCAGGGACAGCTGTCTTTTATATCACAAGGGCAAAGGTTTCAGAAGCATTTAAGAGCCCATCAGTCTAAGACACAGCAGACTCCATTTACACGGATTTCAGCAGGGTGAGCCACTGGCTGGTGTTGCAACCTTTAAAATCCCCATGAAGAAAGGAAAAGGAGGTGTTCCAAACAAGGTCCTTGAACAGTGTACTAAAATCTGCCACTGATCCTGAAAAACAGGACAAAATAACCACAAATAATCACTTTTTTTCTATATTGAACACTGAAAAAGACACAGAGTGCTCAGCAGGGTTTTTGCTTTATGCTCATCATAAATTATGCAGCCTTTCCAAAGACAGAATAAGCATATCACACACACATTCATGATCCCTTACAGTAAATGTAGATGCATAGTCTTGGAAAAATCAAGGCTGTTATTGGGGACCCTGAAAAGTTCAGATTACAAAGCACAGTAACAAATTGTTTGTAGCTATAGACAAGCATTTATTTATGCTGCAAAAGTTATATTTCATATGCAAAGTCTTTACGTTGGTCTGAGAACAGTTCCTGTTACACGACCTGTAGGGGAATACGATGGGCTCAAGTGGCTGCCATGAATATTTTACACCAAACTTTAACATGTTTCAGCTTACACCCACCATTAAACATTCAGTGGCTGAAAAGAAAGCTCTCCTTATGCCTTTGTCGTTCACATTTGAGACTTCATGCTACTAGGTGCAATACATGGATGGCCCTCTTCTTCTTTTTGACCATTTTTTTGAGCTTTGCTTGTGACCATGGGGAGCTGCAACTTCCACCCCACAAGGACTGTCAAAGTGGAGATCACTGCAGAAGAAAACAGAATCTGACAAACTGCCCAGCAGGTATTTGGGGATAATATACCAGAGGTCATTAGCTTCTTTAGAATGCTTTTCTGTCACATGCAGCTCAACAAATGCAGCCAGACATTGATTGTGTTGAATGCTAGGGAGGCCCTTAGGTAATGAATTAGTCTTGCAGCAATTAATATAATAAAAGGAAGTAGGCTTAATCAGCTACTGTAGAGCATTCAGTATTGCTATAAGATTCACATATCCGAGGACTTCCTTTTTGTACTGCATTAAAAAGGCAGCACTGAAAGCAGGCAATATTTTTAAACGAGGCATGGTTCATTTTACTGATCTTGATGTCATAATGCAAATAAACACACTTTATTTAAACTGTAGAGGCACTAAGTCTATCTGATGTACATAATAAACCTGCACTGTACAAGAAAAAACCATGATATGCTTTTGGTTTTGTTGTTCACAGGCTTTTTCTGCCCCGAAGGAAGCAGCACGCCAGTCCCGTGTCCCCGAGGCACTTTCCGTCCCGAAGGAGCAGCACTGACACCACACAGCTGCTTGGCTTGCCCAGTGGATTTCTTTAACCCCATGCCTGGCCAAAAAGCATGCCTCCCATGCGGCTCGGAGGCAGCACAGCCCACAGAAGGGCAGGAAACATGCATCTGTCTTGGGAAAGGCCAGGTGTTTCAGGTACACGGACACTTCTGTAGCAGCTGTTCAGTCCTAATGGAGGTCACCATTACTTCAGGCTTTGGTCTTTACTCTCCACCTCAAATGTGCTGCCCTAATGCAGGGTACCCCCCTCTCACGCTGGCATCTTTCAGTCACAGAATCACAGAATTGTAGGGGTTGGAAGGGACCTCCAGTGATCATCGAGTCCAACCCCCCTGCCAAAGCAGGTTCCCTACACCAGTTCTGCATCTCATTTCCACTTACACACATTCACCAGGCTGAAAGTAGCATAGCAGCTCTACACGTGTTCTGAGTTTCAGGGCTGCATCCATCCCTCTTTTAGCGGGAAGGGAAAGATGGTGTGAATGGACCCTCAGGTTTCCTCTGATCTCAGCCAAATAAGGCGTGATGCTTAATGTAGCAAGGTGCATAACAGTGACTTCATTTAGAAACATGCAGGTTTCTAAATGGATCCCTCTTTTTTTCTTCCAGGTTCGTGACGCCCACTGCACATGCCCTCTGGGTTATCAGAGCTCTGTGGGTGGCAGAAGTCATTGTGTCAGAAGAACATATGATGTCTGTCGAGATTCAGCCTCCCGAAATCAGGAGGGACGGTGCCTGACCAAGAAGGAATGGACTCACTATTGCTCAGAAAAGGTGTAGTGGTTTTCCGTCAGTCACATCCAAGATCCATGCAAACACTGCCCTAAAAGCAAACTCCCTAGCTCTTCCTTTGCTGGGTGCAGGCAGCATGAGGACCGAGCATTAACAGCATTTTCACAGCAGGTTTTAACTCTTCTTCAAACTGAAATAAGAAGCCCATCAGGAAGCCCAGATTTCCATCCTCGCATAAGGAGGATGGGTCATTATTTGTCTTACAAGCTGCTATTTTATTCCTTTTTTTCTCCTGCAGGTTTGTACTATTCCCAGGGATTATCAAGGCTATGACAAGGTTCTTGGCCTCTGCATCTGTCAAACTGACCGTCTGGATAACATCTGTGATTCTCAGTGTAGGAGGCAACAAAGAGAAGCCCTGCAGATCACCTGTGCAGAGGAAAATCCTCAGCTTTTTATCACTTACAGAAATGGGAGCAAGGTAAAAACTGCTGTTATTTTCAAGGTCAACCTATTTCTTGCTAAACTTTGTAGACTTTGAGTAATCATTTTATCAAATAACATAATTTTTATTTATTTTTTAATTTCCTTAAAGAAGTACAGAAAGCAGCGAACAAAAACCCCAGGCACAAGCCTGTTATACACATAGCATATTTTTTGTACTTGGCCTTGCTTTGCAATAGTGTGAAACACTCACATACATTTTCTGAGTTCCTTTTCTACTAGGCTGCTGTTCTCTTAGAAGAATTAAGAACGGTTCTCCTAGGATCATATTTCCCTTTAGAAAATGTCTGCACTTCAGAACAAAGCAAATGCTCTCATCCAGCATACATCGTGAAAGCAAGTGGTAAGGAAGAGGATAACAAAAGTGATAGCTGGGTTTAGAGATATGTTATTAAGTAGGTATTAAATGGCTGCTATAAAAACTGGCCTTTCCTTCTTGTTTTTAACACAAACAACAAGAAATTCTGATACTTACGTCCTGGCATGATGAAGTGATGCTGAGTCACTGCTCAGTCCTGAAACACTGCCCGAGTTCTGGACATTTCCAGTATTCCAGGAATGGACAGACACTCAGAGATTCCCTCCCACTCTCACTTTCTAAGAAGAGATGCATCTCAAAAGGCTCCCTTCTCACAATCCTTTATCTGTATAGATTTTCTTTTGGGCTTCGGATTTTAATGTGAATTTATCAAGCAGAATTAGAAGGAGTTAAACATTCTTTTTTAAAGTATTCTAGAATTAAGCTGTTAGCCAAAAGCTTTTTATACAAGTGCATGAAAATTTAATAAGAACAATAGGATGCAATCGTTTCTCTATGGTACCTTGACACAGTTTCATTGACTACAGCCAAGTTAAACCAGTTGCTGCTTAAGGAACAGGTCTTGCAACACCAAACAAACCCTAAAGCCTTTGGATAAGGCCCAAGTGTTCTAAAGCACTGCCCTAGAATAAGAGAAATGAACTGAAAAGCACGTAACTTGGTTTGAGGCTTTGTAAGCCTAACTTGTGGAATTTGTGAGCTGATACTCTATAAACTAGAAGAAAAACCAAAGTCCAGCTTGTTGAAAACCAGAACTAATGGATATTTTTTATATTGCTTTAGGGAGAGGATTTTTAGGAGTGTATAATCCTGACCCACAGCTGTTTCATAACTTCATCATGCTGAACAAGGCTTCGTCACTTCACAAAAACAGGTCTTCCTCCCCAGCAGCTCCAGGTAAGTTCTCACATTTGGTTACAAAGCATATATTTAAATACAGTTTCACTAAGGTTTAGTTGTGCTTCAACCATCTCCAGTACCAAACTAATTAGGAAACAGAAACCAACAGACCTTACCATCTTCAAATAGACAGAAAACCTTTTCACACTAAGCATAGTGAAGTGAAAGAAAGAGCTGACCCCCTGCACTGCACATCAGAGCCTCCTGCTTTGCAGCCCAAGCCCACGAGCCAGCAGCTGCATCCTCCTGGCCCTGCCTCTTCCCTAGGGGTGATGAGGAACAGCCAGGTGCTAGCTGTGCCTCCCTCTGGGTGCACAGAGCTGGCACGTGGCCCCCTCACTGCCACCATGTCCACAGGTCTGCACGGAGGGTAGAGCCCAGGAGGAAATGTCAGGGCTAAGCTCTCTTCTGTTCCTCTCACACCTCTCCTTTGGTTTGATCCACTCTTTTGGTTCATCTGCAGTTCTGATTTACACCATCATCTGCATAACTTCTGGCATTTCAGATTGCTTTCTCATTAGTTCTACTTGCATTCTTCTTGGAGAGCAGGACTTTAGTTCCTCTGTGCCTCCAGAGTTATCCTCAAAGCCATAGCCAAGCCATACAAGGGGACAGATTCCTTAAAAAGGCTGCAGATTTTGCAAGAAGTTCTGCTTCTTTACCAAATGTGCTTCAGAGTTGCAAAAAAGATAATAAAATGTGGTGCAAAATTATCCTGTGTCAGGAAGATGTCAGTGGCATTGTTGGCTTGATAGTATGCCTTACTCTGGAAGCCAAATTTATGTCTATAAAGCTTAGTCATAAAAGCAAATAGGAAATAGTGTATCCTGCAGCAGTTCTGTAGATGGAAAATCATTGGTAATGATCCAAACATAATGATCCAAACCTGTGCTTTTACAGTTAATTCTGACCATGAAGAACCCAGATCTTCCCCGATAGAAAGCCTGAGACCTTCAACCTCCACATCAAAAATCATATTTAGTGGCATCTTAAATCCTACCACGTGCATTAATGCTAACATTACCTTTGTGTTCATTGTCTCCAAGGAGCATTACCCAGTTTATGATGTGTAAGTACAATGTAGAACTTAGCTAATGCATTTTTAGGTGAGCTACAGAAAAGATGGCTGAAATTTTCACTTTTCTCAACATAGAATTCAGAGGAAACATGACTAGGAAGAGTAGAAATCTCATTAAGTGTGCTTCAATGTCTTCTTGACAGAAAAGACAGGATGGTGTAGTTGGAAACTGCACGTAAGACATAAGGAAAGCAATATTCTGTCCTTAAAAGAAGCAAAACCAAATATATACATGCTGTTCCTGTTGCCCTGCTGGTGCTATTTCTGACCCACTAAAAGGCAGACCTGTCTTAATATTTTGCAAGTTGACTTCTCACTGCCTTATGCTTTATATTCCCTCTCATTCATCCTAATTTCTTTTCCCTTTCTGTAATCACTGAGCTAAGGTTTAGGTTTTGGTAAGCTCGTCCTGATAGGAACAAGCACATTCTAGTGCACTGCAGGCCTTAGGATCTCTGCCTTTGCTGCTTTTGTTTCTGTGGGCAGTTCTGGAGATTTCTTCCCCTGTGGCCTATTTTCATTTCATTTCTGGCGTTCATCCAGCTTGAAAGCAAAGAAGTAACAGAAGGGACAGGTAATGAATTACAGCACGTTACGTGTGGGTGCCGTGTTGGCATCTGTGGTGTTGAAACCCTTACAAGGGGTCCCAGTGGCTGTTTTCTTCACTTCTAAATATTTATTCTGCTTAGGGTTAATTCCTGCTGCGTTTCATTACGTGCATCAGAGCTGGTTGGAACAGCCTCAAACACAGTGCCACTGTGTGGACAATTAGAGGTTCAGCACCTAAACTCTAGCTAATCCCCGGGTACTCAGTGGTGTAGATGAATCCTAAGCAACAATCAAAGCTTGATAAATAAACCTACGTGTGTTGTGCACACACACAGACACACACAATCCAGTGACCAGAACAGACTCTTGTACTTTTGCTCCTAGGAACAACTTGTACAACACAAACACCGAATTTGACTGGGCAGACTTTCGAAGACTTGCGGAGGAAATAAGAGCTGCTTCCCAAACCTTCCTCTTCTTCCTTTTCCAGTTCCAGCACCCTGGTACCTATGTGTTACAGCTGAGCAGCAATCAGCACAAAAAAATGGTTTGTATTGAGGAATGCTGTCTTTGCATGTACAGTATCGTTAGCAAAGCATTTAAATGCTCCAAATGATTGGGAATTGAAAGGAAATGTTAAAGATACGACTGAGCACCTTTTCATTTTTACATGCCATGCTGCAGAGGTGAACACAGCAACAAATGCTGGTGTTTCTGTGCACAGGCATTACATGGGAGTGCAGAATGGTGCAGCTCTGCAGAGATTTGACTCAGTGTCACAGCCAAAATAACACTTCAGATTTAAGTCATTATGCACACTTAAATCACTTGCAGTGATAGTGACTGGCGTTTCTGCTGCTGTTCATTAAGTACATTAGGGTCCTGCCACCTGGAGGACAGTGTTACGAAGAGGGGCCATTCTTCCCCACAACTCCCAGATATGCTGTGCAGGTGGGCATTGCCAGAAAGCAAGACCTCCTGCTGAAACCTGACTGGACAGCCATTATTGGAGTAATCACAGGACTTCTCACATTGCTTATTACCTGCGTGGTGCTGACAGTAAGTAACAGTTACACAAAGTCTCTTCTTGAAAGATTCTGTGCAGTGAACCCACTAGCCACCTGTTTCCTCAGGCATCCCCTATAGAACATTTGGGCTCAACCTTATGTTTTATATATGGGGTAAAATCATCCCTATGAATTTATCCAGCCCCACTGACACTCGAGGATATTTACCTGATGCGTAGGCCACTTGGAGACACTTAAGGTACAGTGAATTTCATTTCTGTTCTCTGGTTCATTAGATGTACCCACATAATGAAATTCTCCATGATATGCATCTCTTCAGGAAGGAGGATGAGGTGACAATTATTTTTTAACAGAAGCACAAACCTGTCTTAAAATAAAGAAGCCATAAGTAAGTCCTGTAAAGCTATGATAAAGATCTGTCAATTGGTGATGAGTTTTTGCAGTGCTCATTCACGTGGCTTGCAGTTCTTCACTAATTGTTCAGGCAGAAGTCCCTGTGAGCACAACATAGCTGAGATCAGAGCACAACAAATGAAATGGGCCTTCAGACTGTGGTAGAAGATGGATTTATTCATCCATCATCAAACACATAACTGTACTTCCTTCCCCTTGGTTTCAGCCTCATCTGCTAAGATTCGCAATTCTGCCTTAGAACAGACCATCCCACAGAGGTACTTAGAAAACAGACTCTCAGGGTCTTTGCCTTATGGCAAAAGTAATGGTGCATCCTGCTTGTTGAGTGACTGACACATGAATCACAAAATGCAACTTGTCACAATGAGAAAAGAAGTTCATATGTTCATTTTTGTTGTGTCCTGTAGCTTCTCTGTCAGGGACTTAGCTGGTCACAGAAGGGCACTGCCTGCCCTCCATTTCGAAGGCAGCAGCTGAAGTACAATCTGGACAGATATTCCTCCAGTATACCAACAGTCTTTCCCATCAAGAAGTATCACCCCTGGCTGCAGAACAAGGGTAGCATGGATGCTGACTCTTGCAACACTGGTGGAACAGGTCAGATAACAAAAAGCTGAACAACAGTGGGGCTGCCTGGTTTCTTGTATGTATGGAGCCAGGATCCCATGTCTGGCAACATGCAGTGGCCCAGACTTATTGATTTGCATAAAGAAAACAGTCATGGAGTGAAAGACACTAATAAATGAATATTTGTGTTTCAGCCTGCCCCATGAGAAAGGGTGGCGTTTGGGAACCTGAAGAACAGATAGACCTTGAGTTGTTTAACACCAACATTTTCTTTGAACTTTTGCTGAGGCAGTCACAGTCAGTCACAGCCAAACTGGGCCATTTCAAAGAAGAGGTAAAGTGTACTTGGGGGCTACTAATTTATACAGAAAGAGTCAAAAACTAGTAATGTTGCTGCTTCCCATCACCTATTTTGTATGTACTTTCGTTCAACTTTCATGCTCTTAGAATTTGAAACACTGACATGTATCCGTGTTCTTAAACATGTTGTTTATACCATGTCATATGGTGTGAAGCATAGTGACCTTAAGGCAGAACATTTTGATTTTCTTATGAATCTGCTCTGCACGTTTTTGGAAAAGGACTTTGTCTCCCAGCCCCAGTTTTTCATCTGGAAAATAAAAGTAATACAGGTTACCTGGTCAAACACCTGGGAATCGTAGATTAAACTGAGGAGAAGTAAATATAAATGAATGTGTGGTGACACAGAAATGGAGTCCTGCTCTGTTATTTGAATTTCATAATAGTCTCACAGCTGAAATCAGCGGGATAGCATTTCACTGATCCACAGTAACTACGATGGACCTGTCTGGAGCACTCATCTAACTGCATGTTTGGCTTAAGGGACAGCAGAGGGAGCTGCTTCGCAGCATGCAGTTAGCATGGAGAGATCACTGGGACTCAGGAATGCTAGCATGAAAATGATTTGTATTGAGGACTCAGGGCTGCCATGTATTTTTGTTGCATAAAAAGGCACCGATGTTACAGAGAAAACTTACTGCCTTCATATTATCTCTTACAGTCCTAATTTCTTTCTTCTTTTTTTTTTTGCCTTAGGTGAAAACGTTGTATCGCAAGCTTACAAGTGAAATATCTGCACTGAAAAGCCTTTGGATCATGACATTAAATATCCCAGGAGAGGTGGAGTCTTATGAGAGCACAACGATGGAGAATTACTTAAAAGCAAAACAGCAGGTAGAGCTCAGCACCACTAACACGTGGAATAGCAAATGACATCTGCAGCACTCTCCTTTCCTAAATGTGGGTATGGTCATTTAGAACATCGTTTTGTAATTGTAAACACTTCATCTGTCATAGTCTGCAACGCAGTTAACATTGTATGACTGCAGACAACAGCCTGTGCTGGACCTTTAAAGGCTTGTGAATTTGCTGCTGCTGCTTCATGCTAGCACAGAAATGCCTCTGAAAGATTGCTCACTTGTTTTGTTTTCTTGATCTGTCTGATGGACCCATTCATCTCAGCTCTTTTGGGGTCTCTTCAGTAGCAGAGCTTTCTGCTCTGAGAACAGCACACACTGGTCTGCATTAGCATAACATCTTTTTTATTAGTGTAACATCTTTTTTCCACTTTTGTTTGTTTCTGTTCTTAGAAAAGTTCTTAGAATGAAGTGATTTTGTGCCCTGTAAGCAGATACACACTCACTGTTTCACTTGGAAAAATGTGTATGCTACACAGTAAGTAGTTATAAAAGTCACTTTTATTAAGTGACTCCTAAAAGTTCTGCACTGCTTGTTAAAAGGATATCTTAAGTTATTAGCTTATTCAGATCTGGACATTTATCACCTGTGTGCTGGATAATTGCAGTTCAGCATATTAGACTTATTAGCATAGATGTGCTCCAATTCAAATGAATAGATCAAAATTATTTGTAATTTCTGATTTTTGTTATTTTAATGAGAGGCAGAAAAGTTAGAATTTCTGTTTACATTTAGCTAAAGCAAGAGAAGAACTGTTTGGATCTTATATCCCACCTAGGCAGAAGAAGAGATGCAGCACAGGAAGCAGTTGGCTGCGGAGTATGAGGAAGGTGTGAAGAAGCAGATGCAGTTACTGCAGCACGATCTGAAGTGCCAGGAAGAGCATTATGTCACATTCAATTCTGCCCTGCGAGAGGCAGCGAGGTTGGCAGAGATGCTGACAAATAAGATGGCCTGTAAAAGAAGCCCAGGCGCTTGGTCCCAGCCAGACTGTGCAAGGTAATAAACATTCTGAAACCTTCTGCTACAACTTTGCATTTCCTACCTGGAAGCATCTGTGCAGGTGATTGGGTTGGCTTGTATTAGGAAGAGATAGTCTAAGAGATTATGAACAGCTGTTCTAAACCTCAAACAGCCATATAGTGAAGAGACCCCCATCTGAATCTAGAGGACAACAATTTTCTGAGGGTGTTTTCTTTCACTGCCAAAGGGTTTCTGTTGTGATATTATGCCAATTAAGGTCAGTGTACAAACCATGCTCTGTCAGGACTTGGAATGTTCAGAATCAGAATTCTGTGATTAAGGAGAAAACAGAAAAAGAGAGAAATTGGTATTTTTAATTCAGTAGCCAAAGCAAGTACTCATAGAGCTCTCTAAATGCCAAAGTGCAGAGATGATGTACATGTCCTTCCAAGCTCTTCCTATACTGCTCCCTTGAAATTATTTTAACTTCATGTGGCAAGTAACCGTCTTTTAAATTCCAGCCTGTTAGCCCAGATAGATGCTGCAAGCAACAGGATGTCAAGCTTAATAATAACAGAGAGCCACCGCCTCAAAGCATGGGGAGTGCTGGGTGAAGGAACAGGAGCTCACCTTCTTAACAAAGCTAAAGCCAGGATCCTTACCAAACAGGAGCTTGTGGGTAACTACAACCTCTAGAAATGCTTTTCAAAATGATGCTAGAATGCAAGGAAGTGTAGGCAGGAAGGTGCACATCTGCTCCTTTTGATGCTTTCATAAATAGGTGACAAAAGCACCAACAGCAAAGTGAAGAGAGATGTGCTTTGAAAGTGTCCTCACTGAGTTCTCACTAACAACTCGTGAATAGAGGGGGTGCTCCAAAAGCAAAGTCATGGGTAGAACTTTCTTCTGCATTGTTTGTCAAAAAGAGTGGATTTCTGAGAGGACAACAGGCTGCAGTTTTCTTCCCCTCCTATTTTTGCATTGCTCTTAGACCCAGATGGCACTGCCCGAGCACCTGATGTCGTCTCAGTGGATCCTGTCACTGGGCTGTTAATTCCCAGCCCGCACTGTGCCGTGCTGCTGGGCAGCCAGTGCTCTGGGCCAATACCCAGCAACCATTTCCTGCACCCAGGCACTGGGAAGGTGCTTCACATAGCGGGCAACGTCGGTTATGATCCCATCAGATCTGGGCTGGTCTGTACAGTTGATTCTGCTTCAGGTAAGAGTTACTATGAAATAATCGATCGGTTCAGTTGCTTGTTTGTGGAATACGGTTTTAATGGTGAAAAAGAAAGAAAAAAGCCAACACGAAATGCCTTGGTACACTTGCAAGTATTTTAACCTTAACAAAATCTGAAACTAAAGAAAATCTGAGAAAACTTCTCAGTAGAATGGCACTGGAAGGTATTTTTCTTCATCTAAATACAAGACTCAACGTGAATAAGAATTGTTAGGTGCTACAAGGCTTATATACAGTATTGAAGCATTCTTTATTTCCGACATATTTCTGTCTGTCTGCACTTCAAACCATAAGAGCCGTTATATGCTTCACTCTAAGGAAAAGGCCAAAGTACAAATTAAGTCTAAAAGCAAGCAACAAAACAACCATCAAGCTGCTACAGAGGGCTTACAGTCATTCGTTTAGCTCTGGGCCTAAGCATTGCAAGCCTTTAGTATGAGCACTCTCTGAAAGCTCCATAGACTCTATTCTGAGCTTTAATGCCTCCTTGCCTTTGGCACTAACATAACCATGCTGGATTTCTTCTGGTTTTACATGTAGGTGAGCGTCAGAAGCCTGAAGTGCCCATATTTCCTTACATTCCTTACCCAGTTTGTCCTGACACTGGCTTACCTGTGAAGACAAAACTTCCAGTCCTGTGTCCTGAAAACATATTTGGTCTTGGAGGACTCATGGCAGATCCAGTGACAGAAATAGAAGTACCAGTGCTTGGGGTTACGATCCATCCTCACACTGGGCAAAAGCTGGCTGTTGGTGGGACATACCTCAACCCCATCACCAGCACCCTGACACCGCTGGAGATCGGGGGTCCTATGACAGAGCCAGAGGGAGGCAAGATTGTTCTGATCCTCGGGGTTGGTTTGGATGGTGACACTGGTAGGTGAATTCTTTGTGAACTGGTGGGTGAGGTATGCACTGTGCATTCAGCCTGCTCTTAACACACTGCCTACAGGCACGGAACAGAGGGAGCCTAAAGCCGTCACTTTCACCTTCCACCTTTGCCTTGTCCTGTCAGGACAACTCCACACCTTAGTCTCTACTTAAAGAAAACTTTCTCTTTTCTGTAGTTGTATTTTATCACTTTAAAAGGCAGTAAAACTGCTGAAACTACGAGAGACATTTGAGGTACTACATTAATGAGTGTGGCTGTGACACAAGAGAATGAAGTTGATCTGGACTAGATGATCATTTGAGGTCCCTTCCAATCCCTGACATTCTGTGATTTGACTCAGAGATGGTCCAGCTGCCCTGTTAAAATAATAAAAGCAGTAAGAAATACATAATTTAGGGGCTAAGGTGGCTGAAGTTCTATACATACATGTATTCTTTATAATTCACTGCAGAAGATACACTACGCACAGAGAAAGGAGGGGGAATCTTAACCTTCTAAAGTTGAAGCTAGGATACTTCATTTAAAAACATTTTGTGGGCAAATGATTTTGTAATCAGCGTCACAAATGTTTTTGCTTTATTTTCTCCCATCTCATTAGATCTATTACTGCTTTCTTGTACCTTTTTCTGAATGGAAAGACCAGACTGTCACGACCAGGTGATCCCAGGTGATGTCCTGACTCTTTATTTCCTGTTTCTCAATTACAGGAGAAGTTATACCTCTAGGTGGGCTGACGGATCCTTCTGGGAACCTAATGCTTCTTGGAGATTCCTTCATTGAGCCTCTGAGTGGGAAACTTGCCCGAGTACAGGGAGCTCACCTGCAGCAGGACAAGGTGCTGCCCCACGGTGGCAGTTACCAAGCAGTGCTGGAAGCCGAGTGGCTGCTGTCCCAAAGCCGTGTGGTGGATGCTCTAAAGAAGCTTAAAGCATCAGTTTTGGAAGATAGCTGTCTAGCAGCAGACAGATTGGCAGTGCTAAAGGCTTCGGTAGAAGATATGAAGAAGTCTTTCACTGCTAGATTTTATCATGCAATGCACTGCTTGAAAAGCCTCAAGAAAAAACAAGAAATAGCTTCAAAGGTCAAGAGTAATGGTGGGAATCTGGGTAGGTGTACAACAGTCTGGTAAAGAGTAAAGGGGTGTCATTACAATTATGGCTACAGTAATGAACATGTTTCCATCACAGGATTTGGCCAAAATATTAGTAGTTAAAACCTTTGCAAGGTTTTTGTCAAAGTAGCTTTTCTTAAGCAAATCATAGACTCACAGAATGGCTTGGGCTGAAAGGGTTCCCCAAGGGCCATCAAGTTCCAACTCCAAGCCACAAATACTATGATGAGCTCAGCCAACATTATTTGGAAGCTGGAGCAGAAGGAACGGCGTCCATCCTGCATTTGTCAGCCTCTGGAGGTCTTTCCATCACAAAACATCAGTCTGATATTTTATGCTTCTCATCTTCTCTTTTGGGGGACAAACTAGGTATGATCAAATATCCGGGCACGGAGATGTGGATCCCTGCAGTGTTTGGAATGAAAATCCCAGATCCCGGTGGGTCCAGTTTGATGGTGCCAATCCTGGGCATAGACTTTGACTGGAATAGCAGGCAGCCTTCCCCACTCGCAGGGACCATGGAAGATGGAAGTGGAAAAGGTAGAACGAGAAACTGAATGTGGTTGTTTTAGCAGTAAAGAGGAAAGAACTTCTCTGTCATCACCTCTATTCATATTACTTTCAGAGCCAAGAAATCACCCTACCAGAGCAGATCAGTTAATGTCTCAGCAATGAGTGGAAAATATCAGTGTGCATGGTGTGACATTCAAAACGGGCAGAGCCAGAGAAATGGTGGACAGGAGCCAGGGCTGAGCCCAAATCACACAGCAGCTTTCAGCCATTAAAAAAACGTGATCATTAAGGTTGCAGCTGGAACAGCTGTATTCATGATGCGCATTCTAAGGATTAAATCTGATCTTTCTTTACCCACAGGCCTCGTCCCTATCGCTATTGGTGCCAGAACCATAAGTCCAGTGACAGGTGAAGTGGGGCCTGTTATCGGTGCTCAGACCCACCCCCAGACACACAACGTCATCCCTGTTGTTCAGTCCCTCAGAGCTTTGCCAAGAGCCATGGATTCAGAGCTGGTAATTACTGCTCAGCTTTGATAACTTCCAAAAACTCTTTGCTCATGATTTTCCACTGCTGTTAGGTAATTTCAGCTCTTCCTATGCCCCACAAATAATATTTTCTCACAGTACAAGATGAACTGAAGTATATCCGTGTCATTTTACTTGCCTCTTTTCATTATCTATTTTTCTCTCTCTTCTATCTTCTGCTGCTGCTCTTCATACCTCTTCTTCTCTGTCCTACAGATTCAGGACTGCAAATTTCTCATCTCCCTGTGACAGCAAATTTGGATACGTGCTGCAGTTGAAAGCACTGAATAAACATTTCATAAGTAAGGTTCAATCAAGTTTGTAATCTTTCACCTTCCTGCAAATGTAAGCTATTTTTTTTCTGTCGTTGCATTTCAGCTGGACCTCCTAGAGAAGGAAATAAATTCAAGGCAAATATACTGGCACTGCAGAATAAAAAAGGAAGAAGGGCTCCTGAAGGAACTGAGTTCTCTATTTCTTCATGTCCTTGATGCTGCAAAGCAGGGAAAGGCACAGAAGGTGTGTGCATTGTTTTTGCAGCTGGCTTCTGTAAAGTGCTTTACGAAGGATTGCCCACAGTTGAAGGATTTCTGGTGCTGCACCCAGGATGGTGATCTGAGTTCACATTACTTCCCTTCTCAATACGGTGCAAATACAAACTGTGAGTGGATGTGTTGTTACTTCACTGCAGCCTTTCCCACCTTCGAAGTTTGGTGTGTAGTCTCATCACAGAGCAGGCACTGGTTCAGAGTCACAATGTGTCTGTGCACAGCAGGGACAACTGTTCTTAGTGGTATCAGAAACAGATGAACTGCATTCAGGGTCTGCACAATAAAGTAAATTAGCCAATCTCTTGCTTTCATCTGTCAAAGGAAAGAGCTTCACAAGAAGTCTCTGTTGTACAAGTTTGCAAGGTTATCTTGAAGTGCTCTCTCCCATTTCTTACAGGTAAAATACAGGGGGGAAGTGAATGACATCGAGGCAATGTGTCATTTTCTTGAAGGGTCCTCTCTGCAAGAAGCTGAGAGAAGAGCTTCAAAGTATTTCAGCAGCCAGCTGAGCACTGCATTACCCTTACTATTCAAAGGTATGAAATGTTAGCTACAAACTGACAAGAGGGGAAGCAGGGTGTGTGATGTTTGCTCCCTCCCAGCATGTTAGCTTAAACTTCGGAAACTGCTCATGCCCCCATGAAGCAAGATACAGGATCTGGTTATTCTGTTCTAGAAGATAAAGAGCAGGGATGTGGTGAAACATATTTAGGAAGCGTATCATTTCAGGTTTGCTCTGTGAATTTCCATTGTCAGATGGGCATTTCTAATATTTGCTGCTTACAGCTGACAGAGATGAAAAAGAACAGGAAATACAGGTTCTGCTGGAGATCAGAAAGGCACTGGAAAAGCTGATGCAGTTTGTTAAGAAGATACAAGAAGAAGAAAAGAGAATATGTGTGCAGATTGCAGAGAGAGAGAAGCAGAGGGGATGCAGGTCAAATACAGAAGCAGCACCCAGTGTGATGCTCAGACAGGTGAGGTCACTGCTGGCTTAGGCTGAACGTCCTGCGCTCAGAGGACTTGTTAACCTTTGAGAAGCACCCCGGGGTCACACTGTCCCATTTATTTCCTCCACCGTTTCTCTTAAATCCTCCCTTTTTGAACTATTACCTTTAGGGTGGAGCTTTTGGCCCTTCCTGTCATCAGCTGTAGGTTTCGTGACTGTTCTGTGATGACTACCCAGACACCAGTGCCATGTAGCTGTCACACCAGCTTTGCAGCCACAGTATGCAACAGAAAATGAAAGCTGGGACTTGAAGTACTCTGATTTGTCTCATTTCTTCCAGGTTATAGTCGCTCTAGCCTCTGAATTTCAGGAATGCATGCTGAAACAACAAGCTAACGTGGAGACTGCATACACTAAGCTGGAACTTTTGAGGGACTTGTCAGATATCCAAACCCAGCAGGCAAAGGTACTGACCTCTCTCGCAGGCCAATGAAAAGCAGTCATGCTACTTACTTTCTAGCAAAAGCATGAACAGCTGCCATGTTCTGAGAAAAATCCCTGAGAGTGCAAAAATAATTTTCAAATATGCTTGAGTAAAAAAGCCCCCAAGGTCCCCTCTCTTAAAGAGACCTTTCACATCCATCCTTTGACTGTGGTGTCTCATGAATCGTAGACCTGCGTCCTCTTGACAAGAGAGTCTTCCCATTAAGTCAATAGGCTCAGAATCTGCTCTTCATATTAACTGGATTCCATATTCCGTTTTGGCCTTCTGATATTAAAAAGCATAAAATTACCAGTCTTCCCTGATTTTCTTCCCTTTTCTCTGTCTTCCTCTTCAACTCTTCCATCCCCATGAGACAACAACCACTGACTGAATTTCAGCTTATTAATATAATTGAGATAGAACTATTAGACCAGAACGTTGAGCAGAAAGCTTTTTATTACATGTATGACACAAGTGGATTCCAGAGAAGCTGAGGATATTAAATGCAAGCAATTCAGTTCCAATCATTTGTCTTACAACATCTGCAGCAGCTTGAAGGATGCAGAAAAATCAGAGCTGGGTGCTCTAAGATTGTAACCACTGGAAAAGACTTGAGGCTGCTGAGACAGGCTCCTTGTAGAATCCTATTGAGTCACCAGTCAGTCAGCGTGGGATGTCTGAAGCAACAATTTGAGGTTTTCAGCAGAAGGCAAAGAGGGCCAGGATGCTTTTCCAGTGAGATTTTCAACACGTGTAAAACACAGGTTACATGTATTGTCTTGTGATGTTTCAGATGCTTTTCTGTGGGTCACAACGCTGTTTTGAAAACTATGAGACAGCCAGCTACTATGGCAGCAGTGGGATCTCACACAGTACAGGCAAGGCCATCGACCACAGTGTGATGCCACTGCTCAAGTCTGTGGTTCAGATGCTGGAGGAAGACAGCAGAAGTTACATATCATCTGAGACACCTGGTGAGAGAGGAGTTGAAGGTCCTGTCAGTTGCCTTGTTTTACTCTGGCCTTTAAAAACGTATTGGAACCTTTCAACTTTAAAGGCTAGAAAGAGAGATTCTCCTTTCTGGCAGCAGCTGTCAGATACTTCAGTGAATCTGTGCTAAAGTAACAGTCATTTCACTACTGCTTTTACCATTTTTCATCACTCTAGAAAGTATTGGTGATTTTAGCTACATTGGGAAGCCTGCAGAATAGAATGGCTTGGGTTGGAAGGGATCTTTTAGGACTAGGATTTTAGGATTTAGGACCAGAGGGAATGGTTTCAAGCTACGGCAGGGGAGATTCAGGCTGGATGTTAGGAAGAATTACTTGTCAGAAAGGGTGGTCAGGCACTGCAATGGATGCCCAGGGAGGTGGTGGAGTCACCGAGCCTGGGGGTGTTCAAGGAAAGGCTGGATGCTGTGCTGAGGGACGTGGTTTAGTGGGAGCTGTTGGGAATGGTTGAACGGTTGGACTGGATGAGCTTTTAGGTCTTTTCCAACCTTGGTGATTCTATGATTCTATGATTCTATGATCTCAAGGATCATCAAACCCCAACCCCCTGCCACATGCAGGGCCAGCAGCCTCTATATCTAATACTAGACAGATTCATCAGCACTTTAGAACTAATCTGTGATTATTTTAGATGAGACTGCAATAAAGTAATTGGCACACAAAATGAAACAGCCATTCTTTTTTTTGAAGCAGTATTGATTTTCTTTTCAGCAGAAGTATTTTAACATGTGCAACTTTGGCTATTTCCACCAGAGATGAAGACAGGATTATCACTGCATTTCCAGTTCAGGTGCAATGCAAAGATGTTTGTTTCATCAGTCAGGCAGCCTGTGGTTGTTTTTACTGTTAGAAGATCTTGCAGAGCAGACAACTTTAATTTACTGTCCTCTGTGGAGGAAGCACTGTAACAATGGAGGACAGACTCAGAATGCAGAATCACACCAACTTGGCTGTCGATCGAGCCTGAGGTACACAAGTCATCACCTTTCTAGGCCTTACTTGAAATGTGTAGGGAGAATGAAGTTCTGGGGGTTGCCCACGAACACTGAGCCCTGCACTCTTGAAAGAACTGATAACTCATCAGCAGCATTGGTTTTATATGAAGAATGACAAAAATGTTAGGAGGTGAGAAATGCAGCAAAATGAAGACACATGAAACAAAAAGAATTAATCCAACAATATTCTGTTGTTCTTTGTAGAAACAGCAAGTTCTTCTCAGAGTAAACAAGGTGCCTTCTCCAGTCAAGAAGGAGAGCTAATAGTAGTGGATTCTGCAGCCCTGTCCAGGAGGGAGTTTGTCACATATCAGTATGGCATCTCCCTGCTGCAGTTTCTCAGCCTTCACATCGATGTAAGTTTGTGAGCTGCTGGTATTCAGTAATCAGCTCTTCAGAAAGAACAGTTATCTAAACAATCCTTCAGCCAACAAGCTGCAAAGCATCTGCCCATTATAAAGCAAAATCAAGTTGAAAAAGACTAATCTGCCAACAGCAGGAGGTAGAATTTGTGTTTTCCCACAGTGATGTAGGACTGTTCTGAGATCAAATTTCTGTTGCCCAAGATCCACGGTCAGTTCTTGTATTTGCTGTGCAATCCCTGCTGTGCACCTCACCCAGACCTTGCATTACCTAATTGTTGCATTCTGAATGGCATTAGGATAAAGCACATTTCTTTCATAATTTGGAGCAAGGCATTTCTTATTTTCATGTTACAGTTTGTAGCACAGCAAGGCTTCATCCAAGGCCTTCATAGAAATATAAAATAAATACCAATAGTGATGCCTCCAGTCAGGGCTCTGGGACAAGAGCTCACTTTAATTTATTTCATTAGAAAACTGGCAAGATGAATTGCTGCAACACGTGAGGTTTTTTTAAACAGTTCCCATTGCCCTGTGGTATTTGTTGGCTCTGTGTACCCACTGCAAATCAAAGGTGACATTTAAAGGAATTCACATCTCATAACCCCTCTTACTTTGCAGGTCTGATGTGCATGCACAGGTTTTACAGGAGCAATTTGCCTTCCCTTTGCAGGCTCCAGAAGTTAAGCTGTGTGTTGCCTCCAGTATTCCTCCCTGCAGTGCTGCAGGCAATGCCTTCAGGAACTCGTTCTTTTATCAGGTTTGTCAACTTCACATCTAACCAGCCTGTGTAATAGTTTTACATGCATTAAGTTATGGACCTAGGAAGTGAACTGCAGGAAGGTTTCATGTTTTTAAATCATTATATGTTTGATGTAAGACCCTTCAAGGTTAATGGCATGCTCTGGATTTCTCTGAATGTGAACTTAATAGAGCACTGTAGAATACAGAGATTTAAAAAGGGGCTGATGTGGGGTCGTACCCAGAGCATCTTATTGTACTCATCCAGTCTCTCATGTTCAAATTACTGATTTTTCTATAGGTCACCTTTATAGAAGTGAGCAATTTATCAGCATTTTACTTGCTATAACCAGACACACAAAATAGATTCTGTATTCTAAAAGTGAAGTATTAGAGAGAAAAGCTTTCTAAAGTTCATGATACATGGAGATACAACTGTCTAGAAACACAGTGAGAAGGCTTTAGATTTCACACATAAGAAGGTGTCCCAAATTGAAGCCTTATGACAGTGCTGTGTTGTTTGTTATATGGATATTCCCCATGTAAAACCAAACCAGTGGCAGAATTCTCTCTCTTCAGCTGCCCATTGGCTGTGCTCAGCTCAGGATATTTGTTCTTTTTCAGACTTCAAAGAACAAACTGTTCATCCTGAGGGATTGTCTGGGTTCTGTGGGAAGCTTCCTCCTGCTCCTTGTGCACTGCTTTGCTCACATTGCTGCTGCTGACTTCAGCCAAGACACCAACCCAGCCTTTCTGAGGCTTTTTTATCAGGTAGCTCTGCGTGCTCCAAAAGTAATTACGTTGTATTTGGAAAACATATACCAGATATGTACATATGGATTTATTGAGAAATAAATATGGAACAGCAGTGTTCTTCCCCTAACTTCTCAATCAATACAAGGCAGCCCTTTCCATCCAGCCTTCAAAGCAGTGCACTTTCTATTGCAGGAGATGCAGAGTCACCTTTTTCCTCAGAGATATCCCTACTGTGCACAAAGTGATTTTAGGCCCCTGCCCAAATCTGCCTTTTTTAAGTGGTGATTTTCCTCACCATTGTCAAGAATGACCTCCATTGCCAGGGGCCAAACAGCAGAAATAGCCCAGCTCCTGCTGGTGCTGGGTACCACGTCCTCATCCTGCTTCTGTCTTGAACAGCTGCATGTTAACCACAGCACTGAGTGGATTTGTGGGCAACATCAAATGAGACCAATAATGTTTTGGGGGTGATTATTAGGATATCAAGAGAAGCTTTTGTTTGACTTGCTCTACCCACCATCCCTACTAATCTCTGGTCAGTGGGTAGTTTTAAATGTCACGTTCAACTGCTTCCAGGTATTCAAAGCTGTTTCTCTCTCTTTCTAGGCACTGAAGACTTGCCTTGGTGAGATGTTTTCTCTCAGACTCCAGCTGTCAGCAGTTCTCCAAGGTAATAAATCCTCTGGGATAACTCAGATGTTGCTGAAGGAAGAGCCGTTCTCCAAGGAAGAAATAAGCCTGATCTCCCAACTTTTTGAGGTGAAAGGGAAAAACTTCACAGAAATTGAAGCCTTTGAGAAGATAATAAAACAGACTGAGTCCTGGTCTGGTTGAAAGCTCTTCTTTTTATACATACTTCATTACAAAATGGCAATTAAAAGCTGCTTATAGATATTGGCCCTCACACATTTGCAGCCATCAATTCCCAACAAACACCCGTTTCAAATCTAACAGCCTCAATAGTAGCACAAGCTACCATTTTTACCTGGAAAAAAAAGACCCTCGTATCAGAACAAAATTATTTGGCCTCATACAAATCACAGCATAAAAAGCAGTACTCTGAAAAATGTATGTAAAGAGTCTATTAAAGGCCTTTAAAGTTAACACTGATCTGCTCTCTGCGTTTTGTGCTTAATGAATGACAAGTTTGAGGAGCCACCAAGTGACAGCTTGTTTGAGAAGAGAAAAAAGCATTTCCTTCATGCCTTAGGCAGCTGTAAGAAGGGCAGCTTTGGGTGGAGGATGTGATTTGTGATGGTGTAGCTGAATACAAAGCAAATCGTGACACCTCATGGTGAACTCACTTTACACTACAAAGCCAGTCTTCACAACCTGCTACATCTGGGCAGGTTGCATGAAGAGCAGGTCAGATCTGCTGCCTGAGTATGGCAGACTGACTGCTTCTCCCTAAAACATCACCACCTTCTGGATAACAGAAGTCACATTTCAGAGAAATTAGTCTAGCTTGGTCTCATGAAAAGCCTGCTGCTGTCAGTAACAGCAGCACTTTACTGGCTGATTTTAAGCACTCAATGCCTTTAACGCTGAAGAAGAAATCTGTACTTATCTCCTGCAGAACTTGAGGATTAAGTAGATGCATTAATGGAAAAGATACCATAGAGAATGAACACCATCTTTCACAAACATTTGCTTTTACCTTGGATTAAGTACTTTAGAGAAAGACCAGTTGGTAAAGCAAATAAAGGCATTAGAAGAAAAAAACAGCCCAAGGCAAAAAAGCTTTAATGATCCTCAGATGACAACTTGGTGGCTTGGTTCTGAATTGGCCAGCTGCTTTTGGTCCCAGGCTTTACATGAGAATATTGTATTGTCATTTTATTAGGCAAAACCATGAGTTAAAGTGTGAAAGACAACATTTCTTATTCACTGATCATCACCTCTTCCGTCCCTGCAGCCTCTGGTTTAGGTAACAAGTGGGAAGAAACAGCACACCAGAATCTATGAATTTAGGCAGGAGCTGTTGGCAATAGGTGAACGTTTGGACTGGGTGATCTTTTAGGTCTTTTCCAACCTTGGTGATTCTATGAACTTTAAATGATGTCAGAACCCACTGAGTATCCTCACATTAATGCTGCTGAATCATTCAACACCGAGAAGCGGGTGGGTTATCACTGCTTCATACATTGTGCACACATCCTGTTATCTTCACCCTACACTGAGATCTCACTAGGAGAGAAAAAACAGACTAAAACAGATGGATTGTGCTGCTGGAGGACAAAGCACCGTCATCAAAGCTGCAGAATTAGTTGGAAGCACTACTGCTGACTCTCAGGGACGAAGAAGCCTCCCACCTCATATCTTCTCCTTTATTCAGTTTATTCAGTGCCATACAGATCACAGCATTTGCACAGAGCCAACTTCAAAACAAAGTCTTTTAAAAAGGAAAGCCTCTATAGTATGAGCAAAATTGTTGTTTGTTTTTTTTTGTATCTACTAAACCCTATTAATGCCAAGTTTGACTTCAATGTGATTTTTTTTCTGAAGAAAGACAGCAAGTTGTGGTGAAGCATGACAGACATTACCTTACTTAAGAGGAACAGAGAACTCAACCTTGTTAGTTATCACCATCCACACTGTATTCAAAAGTTGAGAGGATCCAGATTGAGTAACTGTGGCTTAATACAAATGTGTTGTTTGTTTTAATTAAACACCAACTATGAAGTTACCCGAGATCTACACTTATAATTTTAATCACTTATTTGACTTGATTTTTACAGCCCTCGAGGCTCAAAACGGCTCCTGGTTGTCTTCTTTTACAAAGCCTCTCTTTCAGGACTGCACATCAGTCATTTCCATCACTGCTTACTAGCTAGCAAAGGAGGACTACAGCAAGAAGAAATGACTGCAGTTAGCAGTCATATGTATCTGCACGAGCTATTTTGGCAACAAGCTTGCTGAGCATTTTCAAGAGATTAAGCAGCAGGACAAGCTACCACCATTGCTTTTACCCTCGTGGCCCAGTTTAAGGAGCAGGAAGTGTTGGACTAGGAGACAAGTCAGTAGGAAAGTCAGAGCAAAGCCATTGTGTTGAGTGGCTGCCAGGACTGAGTGAAATAAAGCATCCTAGAGCACAGCTCACAAGCCCAGTAGCGTTCCAACGAGCCCTTTCTTACTGAAAGCATAGCCTCCATCTCTCCAGAGTTCTGACTGAGTGAGAAGACAGCTAAAGTGACTCACGTGGTTTAGGAAAAGCTTCCTGGGGGACACAGCACTGCAGAACAGGCATCCTTTGATAAATATTCCATCCATCGAGAAGGTGATGTTTGCTGTGCTGCTCACAGCTGGGGAGAGCTACACCATCATCTGTCCATCCCTCTCCTGTCCATAGGCTGGCTTCTTCTGACAGGTGAGCTACAGGCTAGGAACCAGAAGCCCAGATGGAGCCACAGGAGCATCCTGCACAGCTGCACACAGCAGAGCTTCGCACACTGGGAGGTGCAGACATTTTGCTCGCAGTGCAACTAACGCTGCTGCCCTTGCTACCTTGGCCAGAAGAAAGCAGAAGGTCTGCTTGTCCTCAGCTCTAAAGGTGTATTTATTTATTATCAGTCTTCCTTGACTCGTGTTTTGACCAAACAGCTTTTTTTAAACTCCCTTCAGGCACCAAGAGGGGATTGGACAGCTTTTTAAAAGAAAACATGATTAGATTTATTGATATATACGCATTTCCTTTTTAGCTTACAAGTAGCATCTCACATTAATTTTCAGTCTTGTTAACACTGTTAAAATATTAAAATGTTATTTAAAAACCCAGAGTTTCAATAGCACAGAGTAAGAGGATAGGGAACAGACAGTAAGCACATTCTCTTCTCGTGAAGCTCTGTAGCACCAGCCTTCATCCCACAGCACAGCTGAGTGTTAGAGGCTCTTGGAACAGAGACAGCCACGGATCTACCGCTTGGTGTTGATCCAGTGGTATCTGTCAACACGTGGTCCTGGGAAAGCAACAGCTGGCCTGAAGGCTTTGAAAGCCCTGTGCTGGGCATAGGATGAGCCACTCGTGTGTGTCTTCCTATGAAGATACTGAGACCAGGACTGTATGGGTGTCTTGCAGTAGTCAAACTAGACAGCAACAAATGAGACAGCATTAAGATGTGTCTGGGCAAGAAAAGGGAGCTAAGTCTGGCCAACAGCTGTCCGTCTGTCACACCTCTGTGAAGGAGCCTCCAGGACACAGATGGTGGCTTTCACCAGCAGGGACAGTCACACTTACCTGGTAGACGCTGTTGGGATTGCTGACAGTAGGGATGGCCTTTGGTTCCCTGCTGAAGCTCTCCTCATCCGAAGAGGTGCCGGAAGGATAATCCAGAGCTGCTCTGTCAACAGCATGGTTGATCTGCTGCGAAAGCTCTGGGTTCTCCTCTCCTTCAAAGTGAGCAACTGTGAACGGCCGGTTCTTCTCTCCATACCTGGAAGCAACCGCGTTTGTGCCACACAGCTCTGGAGCAGCGGTGTGGACACGACTCTCCTGACGCTACCAAGGAAGCACAACCTCAGCCTCTACTAACGGGCTTGGAGAGGATGAGGTTCCACAGAACACCTGGCAGATGATGGTGCGAGTCACAGGTTAACTCACCTGCAACACACTTCAAATGGATCAACCCACAGCGTCATCTCTTTCGGCAAACCAAGCTTGTTGAAGTCCACGTTACTCTCCACACAAGCTTGCTCCAGCAGCGGATCTCTTGCCTGATGCTTGTTTATCCTTATGCACCTGGGGAGAACACAAGTGCAGGTGGAACATTAGACTTCACTGCCACTTTGCAGTTCTGCTCCAAGAAATAGGATTAAGTCCACCATATTTCACCGCAAACTCTCATTTATAGAGAATATCAGAAAGTTAGCCAGCAACTCCACCATTTTCAGAAGCATAATTTAATATAGAACTCAATTTAAGAGAAGTCAGGTCCTCTCCCCTTTCCTTAAAGGCCCTCTTACCTGAAGGCCTGTCCTCGGGATGGATTGTCCAAGTACCAGTGGTTCTTGTACTTTTCAAACAGCAGTGTTGTCAGCTTAGCTGCAAATCTCTCTATTTTGTGCTTGCTCAGCTTGTCCTCCCTTTTTATCAGCCTCGTGATGAAGAAGACAGTAGCAGCAATTTCATCCTTCATTTTAAATCCAAGCACTTTAACTGTCAGAGAGTCATCAGGAGAGATGAGACACTACACTGGATTAATTTAATGGCACTGAGGTGCTATCAAGTTCCAAGAAGAGATGTTAAAACCCATAACCCATCAAATAAAGCTTAAATAAACCAAACTACCAAATAAGAGGATACTTCAGTTCAGGGTATTGCACCACCTCAACAGATTCCTAGAGAGCACTCACAGTGCACTTGTTAAAATGCAAAAGCTTAAAAGGTCTTAACCCTTAACAGCCTTTATGCATTGAGTCAACACCCAGCAGGGCTCACAGAGCTGCTTCACACACTACAAAGACCACAAACATTACCTTCTCAGACCAAGGCTGTTGAAAACCTGAGATATATTTCATGTACAACTTCAGATAGCCACAAAAGAAACAGATTTAATGCTACAAAAACCTCTACAGCTTTTGCTCGCTTTTTTTTTTTTTTAATTAAAAAAAAAAAAAAGAAGAAAAACATAGGAAAACTCCTCCCAAAAAACACCCAACCCTTCCCTTACCATTGCACCACCACATCTTGCTCAGGTTTTATATCCAGCTGGCCCTGAGGGCTGTAACAGCATTCAGGTGTGCTCCATTAGCTGATCAACCTGCGGGGCTCCAGGCTGCATCCACTCTAGGTGGTTTTATCCCAATATCAGCTTCCTCTGTTAAGGTACGTTTAATGGATTTTCATCTCCATCAGCCTGTTAGTTAAACACCAGTTTAATACAGAAGTGAGTAAATTTAATGAGTGGTCACAAACTCCTTTTGCTGCCATTAGTGGAGTTTGTGCAGCGTTGCTCCTTGCCCTCACATTTGGTAGCTGGGGGAGGTGGGGGAGTCGCCAACCCTGGAAGTGTTCAGGGAATGTTTAGATGTGCTGAGGGACGTGGATTGGTGAGAGCTGCTGGTGGGTGGTTGGGATGGGTGATGTCGGAGGTCTTTTCCAACCTTGGTGATTCTGTGATTCTATTCTAAAGATTGGATGACTGTATTTATCAATGTTCACGTCTTCTGATGACCCTAATTGGCTTTTTTTGTTGTTGTTTTTATGGTATTTCACAGAGGATGTGAGTGACTCTTTTAAAGAGTTCAAACCAGTTCCTGGAATGTGAGTGCTTCGTTAGGGGCCTCGAGCTGTGCTAGGGGAGGTTCAGGTTGGATGTTGGGAAATATTTCTTCACCAAGAGAGTGGTCAGGAGCTGCAATGGGCTGCAGGGAGGTGGTGGGCTCCCTGGAGGTGTTCAGGAAGCATTTAGATGTGGCACTGGGACCTGGCTTAGTTCAAAATACTGGTGGTAGGCAGACAGTTGGACTGGATGATCTTGGAGGTCTTTTCCAGCCTGCTGAGTCCATGATTCTATGCTTCATTGTTTAAAGTTGCAGGCAGTAAGCTGATATGTTCTCTTTTTCCCCTTCTGCCTGCGGAATTTGTGCCACCAATGCTGGATATCAGAAAGCATTCAGACAAAATGACAAATGAAGGTGAAAAGAGCTGAGTGCTTACACAGGTTCTCGATGCAATGTGAGCGCTCACAGGGCTGGCTGGGGGCTGAGCAACGCATGGATGGCTTGCAGGCGGTTTCCTGCCTTCCTCCTTCCTCCAGCTCCAACTTGTTCAGGCAGGCCCTGTGAGTTGGGAAATTCTGTGCTAAAAGAAGTGACCAGATGGCACCAAGGACGGCCGGAGAGGCCTGAATGCCTTCAACACCTCTGCATGTTGAGTTCATTGTTCCATAGCTAACAGGTGCCCTAAGCCAGCCGTAAACAAACCTTCACCTGAGAAACCAGGCTGCTCATGCAATCAGTGCATGAATCAGTTTCTTGCATGCCAAGGGGCCAAACAGGACTACACCAACTTTGTGCATGAGACAGGGAAAGAAAAAGAAAGAAAAATTCAGCAAAGTTCTTGGCAACCTGTCCGGCTGGCTCTAATTATTAATGCTGCCATAGAAGCAAGGCTATGAGAATGCTTTAACTTGGTGTTTTTACAGTCACTCCTGAATTCAGAACTTCTGTTAGTGACAGAGAAGCCAGAATGGCAGGGGGCATTTCTGAGCTCCCATTTCGTTGACGACTAGAACTGTCTCTTTTAATTAGGCTCAATCATTGAACTAAAATCCTTTGTTCTGTTGTCAGTTGTCACTGAATGCATGAAAACACAGCCTTGGGTCTCCTGCTTGGAGAAAAAAGGAAGTCAAAGAGAAAATGTGAGCCCTCCATCCCAGTGTGAGATCTGTAAAGCAACTCAACCAGTTGTGCTCCCACCCATTCCCAGCTGTGTCCAAGCTGGATCTGTTGGCATGCCAGCAGTTCTGCAACAAGCGTTATGAACAGCCAGGAGTTCTGATTGATGAGTTAAATTAATGAGCACACATGGGTGCCTTTGGCTAAGGGGGGCTGCTGGGTTCGTTAGTTGTTACTGAGAAGAAGAAAATAATTATAATAGTACAATACTAGAAAACACTTTATTATCCCTGGATATTCATGGGATCATGGAATCAGAGCAGAGAATGGCCTGGGTTGCAAAGGCCCACAGTGCTCATCCAGTTCCAATGCCATGCTGTGTGCAGTCGCCAACCAGCAGCCCAGGATGCCCAGAGCCACCTCCAGCCTGGCCTCGAATGCCTGCAGGGATGGGGCATCCACAGCCTCCAACTCTGGTTGTATTCAGAGCTCACTGAAATCAATGGAAATCCGTCCAAAGGCTTGAAGTGGAATTCAGGTCAGGCCTGAACTCAGCAGAGCATTCTTAGCTGGATTATATTGCGGGTCTCCTGGTCACCAGGCAAGCCTAGGCATGAGGTGCAAAGGGAAGAGTCAGATGCAGTTTCTCTAGTAACTGCAGGCCGAACCTAGAGCAAACATTTCCCTGAGCACCAGACCAGCTCTGCAGAAGCTTTTGCATTTTCCATATCGACACCAGCAGAGCTGAGGGCAGCTTGCTGCTGGCAGCCTTCCTTCTCCACGCCGCCTCCTTTCTGTAGATGATCAACTGCAGACACCTTCAGGTGAGCAGCTGAAGTCACAACTACTGATGTAAGTTCAAGGAGCGTGAGTTGTTTCATGATGGGAAAACATCTGAGAGAAAAGGCCTCTCCATCTGCTTTGCCAGGGCTGTGGGTCTGTCTGCTCTGTCCTCCTATGGCTCCTCAGCTCCTCTTTGACTTAAAAGCAGCCTGAGGCTGCAGGTATCACCGGAGAGATGTGATGGAGCATCAAACCTGCATCACAGCCCCTGCAGCTCCAGCCCAACCCACAGCCATTTGTCCACAAGAGAAGGCAGAAACTCGTGCTCCGTATTGACTTTGCCCATAGAAACCTCTTCTGCAACAAAGCTGCCCATCCCAAGAGCCATGCGGTCGGTTCAGGGCTGGGTCCATCCTCCAGGCGCCAGCCCTGAGTGCCCATGGTGACAGAATGTACACAAAGGGCTGACCCACACCCGGCTGGGGCCACTCCAGCACAGCCATCTGTGGGGAGAGATGGGGACCCAGGTGCCCCTGTAGGGTCCCCATCCCATGGCTGCCTGGGAAAGCGGTGCCTGGTGGATGGAAAGAAAGGAAAGAAGAAGTTCGCTGTTCTTCTCTTCCTGTTAATTCTTTTTGAGCATTTTATTGCAAATTCAGCTCCTAGCAGGATTTCCACAAGGTAAGCTTCTTAAGGGTAAGTCCTGAATGCTTTTTTTCTGCATTTTAACAGTATGGCAGTTATGGTTGAAAGCTAGCAAAAAAAAAAAAAATTAATTTGCATGCAAAGTTCTCCCTGTGACCTTACAGGCTCTGTCTCATTGCTGAGTTAGCAGCAGCCTGATAAATCTATATAAAATAATGTTATGGTATTACTAGTTGCATACACATACATTAGACACGAGGCACAATTAATTATAACTACTTTCTGCCCATTCCACCTTGTTCTGGTGACCAGATTTTCCTGTTTCTTTGGTAGCACTGCAGTGTTTGAGCAGTGTGGGGGCTGACAACCACCTCTGCCTCTGTTCCTGTATCTCTGGGGAAAAGAGAGAGCTCTGGATTTAGTGGAATAGCACTAAGGGTGGTACGACCAATGTTTTCTGACTGTTGCTATAATAACACATGGAGTACTTTAATATTATTGGGAGTGCTTTCTTCTTTTTCCAGGTGTGAATTCCACAGCACCATCACGAGAGCAGTGCTTGGTTTGTAGGCAGTGTAGTTAGCTGATTGTACCCAGTGCCCCACAATCACTACATTCACTGCCATCAAAACAAGGCACAGGACCCCGCCTTGCAGCCTCTCTGCGTCCTTATTCCTAGTGCAAACAGGGTCAATGTTTCCTTGTTTACATCCTTATTGCCAGTAATGTTAGCTGCCCAACAGACATTGGTATATGTTGCCAATATCAAGTGAAATAATAGATTTGCTTAGATGTATGGTCTGATTTTTGGGTGGTCCTGTGTGGAGCTGGGAGCTGGGCTGGGTGAACCTTATGGGTCCTTTCCAACTTGGAATGTTTTATGATTCTGTGCTAAATTGGTGCTAAAATCCTTTGGGACATTCCTGGGACAAGAATGCTGTCTGCTGTGCTGAACTCATCGAGTCGCATGAAGACTTTTTGTAACTCGATTGTTGGTGCACCAGGAATGGGCTGAGGATGTGTTCTGTTCTGCCTTCAGCTGATCTGATCAAAGAAAGCCATTTGCATTCAGCTTTCATGTCTGACTTAACAAGCCAGTAAGCCAAGAGGGTTTTAAGCACTGATTAAATATAAAGCTAAGTGAACGCTACCAGTGGTTTTGACCACTTTGCTTAACGTTCAGTAATGATAATAAGGGGGAAAAAACAAACTTAATACTACTGCAATATTGGGGGGAGGATGTTGTTTGTTTTCTTTTTTAGAAAAACCCAAATTTCATACAGGTAGGAAGAGGAAGGGAGGAGCTCATCCATCAGCCTGGTTACTAGGCAGTGTAGTTAGCTGATTGCCACCAGTACCAATCACTAACCACACAGCCAGGTGAAAAGGCTGGGGAGGAACCCGGGGGGGCACACAGGAATTCATCGTGCCCAAGGACATCCCCAGCACTTCTGAGCAAAGCAAGTCTTTTCTTCTTCCCAAAATTCCTAGATGTGGGCTGTGCTCATCTCAGCCTTGGGCTCGCCAGACTTCGCGTCCGCCTTCCCGTGTTGAAGAAATGTCATTCAGCCCCAAATTTAATCAAAACAAATGTTTTTATCATCAGTCCGAACAGCAGGGCCTGGCACTCAGGCTGTGGGGCGGGATTGGAGCCACCAGATGGAGAGGGGCCATCAGAGCACAGCCCCACACTGGCCCACAGAGCCTGACGAGCCCCTCGTCTTTGCTGGATCGAGCCCAGCTGATGTGGAGTTTGCCCGCATCTTCTGGAGCACAGCCGTGCTGCCGCCGCTCTTTGAGCCCTGCCTGTGTCCCACCAACCTGTGCCGTGAGGGACCTTCGTCCCCTGGGCAGATCCCAGCCCACAGATGGACCCCATCAGCAGCTCATGGCGTGCAGGAAGCTGAAGCAAAAGACAAACGCCGTCGGCAGGTAAGAGCTGCTCGCCCGACCCTTTTCTCATCGCCATTCCTGATCTTTGCGCCTCCCTTGGTGGAGCTTTGGAACTTTGGAAATGACGTGAAGAGCAGATCCAAAAGCAGCCTGGTCCTGGCTAACAGTTGTGCAGACAACAGCTGGGTGTGCTTCCCAGTCACTGATGTGATCTGTAGGTGGAGCCTTTTACTGAAGCCCTATCACTCTAACCCATGTATTAATGCCCCACGTATGTATCACAAATGCACACTAGTGGAAACGAAGACAACTAGCATTGAATACGTAATAGCGTGGCCTGACTCTGCAATGATAACATGTTATTTTTTGGTATGGGACATGCTGTGAGCTTCAGGTATCCAATAAGAGGATGAAAATCCATGCTGAATGATAGCCGTTGTATTTAGAGCGTTCCTTTCGCTGGGCTGAGCTGCACATCAGTCATTCTCATGGGCTTCGTAGAGCATTTCATGGTCAGCAATGGAATTTCAAAGTTCTTAACATTGCAAATCTGAGAAATCCGTGTAACCCATTTAAAATAGGAAGCCCTGGCATTGCCTTACTCTTGAAAACTCCAGACACTCAGGCTGACTCTCAGCTTCAATGAAGAATTTCAGGCTTACACCAGGAGCATCGTGTGCTTTTAGCTCCTTTTTTTTCTGAGCTCATTTTGCTAAACGTTTCTTCTCAGGCCAAGAAGAAAGAAGAAATACTGGCTTTGCTGAGGAAACAGAGAGAAGAAAGAATTGCGGTACGTCTGATTGCTTTGGGTCCTGCTCTGGTTCCTTTGGTCCTGCTCTGGTTCCTTTGGTCCTGCTCTGGTTCCTTTGGTCCTGCTCTGGTTCCTTTGGGCCCTGCTCTGATTCCTTTGGGTCCTGCTCTGGTTCCTTTGGGTCCTGCTCTTGTTCCTTTGGTCCTGCTCTGGTTCCTTTGGGTCCTGCTCTGGTTCCTTTGGGCCCTGCTCTGGTTCCTTTGGGCCCTGCTCTGGTTCCTTTGGGTCCTGCTCTGGTTCCTTTGGGTCCTGCTCTGGTTCCTTTGGGTCCTGCTCTGGTTCCTTTGGTCCTGCTCTGGTTCCTTTGGGTCCTGCTCTGGTTCCTTTGGGCCCTGCTCTGGTTCCTTTGGTCCTGCTCTGGTTCCTTCGGGCCGTGCTCCAGCTGTGCCTTGAGGTGTGCATCCTTACGGCGCAGCTCCCAGGTTTGCTTGGATCTGCTGAAAGAATCCTCACAGCCCCTTTGCTGCGCTCTGAGGGCTGATGTTTGTCCCACCATTGTTTCCTTCAGCTCTGATTCACACAGTATAGAGCAGAGATGGGTGAGGTTTTACCCCATTCAAGGTTAAACTTCTGTCCTTCTGCAGGGCCATGTATCCTACCTAATACAACTGAATTACGTTTGGTAGAAGCAGGTAGAAGTGGAAGGAACTAATGATGATCAGAGGGTCTTTGTCTTTTCAGAAAGAGCTGATTTCTCGTCCACATAAACCAAAGATGAAAAGTGATCAAGTAAGGTAATGAAAACCAAAGCTTTCCTGTCTGAATAGCCAGGATCTGTGCTGGGAGATGTTCTAGTTATTTTCACAACGTTAAGAAGTCGGTTTTATCCTGTATGAACACTTGTCATGACAAAACTTAGAAGCAGAAAGGAAGGGGGTGCTGCTGCTGCTCTGTTCTTTACTCCATGTGTGCTCCATCTGTTTATCAGTGGGTCGCAGAATCGTTTGAGTTGCAAGGGACCATTGAAGGCAACGCACAGCTTCACTGATCTCTGTTCTTTGCAGCAGGCAGAAGGCGTTTGAAGCAGAGCGTGAGGATCAAGAAGCAGTGAAGGCCCTCAGATAATTCAGCCCAAGTCTGGAGGTGACAACCTGCACCGCTCAGGCTGCGTACATCCCTGCTTTGGTCACATCTCTTGTTCACACTGAGACACAGCACGACTGACAGCAGCTTCTCAACGTAGCCCAAACGTCCCCGTGCTGCTGATGAACACTTAGTTTGGAAAACTTACTGAGCTGCGGTGCCCTTTGTGCTGGTGGTGGTTTTGGAAGCCCTCTCCATTGCTCCCATGTCAGGACCACTTTGTGTCCTACAGCACTTTGTTCCCAGTTGGGTTCTTCTATTGCAAGAGACCAAATGCCATTAGCAGAATGTGTACCCACCACTGATTGCAGAAAACATCATGCTGCTGCTTGCCATGGATGTACTCCAATGTTTTTTCCTTCTGAGCCAGTACAGAAATGTTTTCCAATGGGTTCAGCAGACGTAGATGATTTCCTTTGTGTTGGGTGCTGTTCTGAGAACTCCTGATGTAGGTGGAGCTTTAAGACCATGTCAGAGGCTCACATTCAGCCCTAAACCCAGGCCGTGTCAGTTCAGGTGCTCAGTTATTCCTTGTATTCAAGGCATTTCCATATGATAATAGTAATGGTGAAAATGGGACATCTTCATGGATATGCCATGCTTTGAAGTGTTCTTGCCTTGCCTTGCCTTGCCTTGCCTTGCCTTGCCTTGCCTTGCCTTGCCTTGCCTTGCCTTGCCTTGCCTTGCCTTGCCTTGCCTTGCCTTGCCTTGCCTTGCCTTGCCTTGCCTTGCCTTGCCTTGCCTTGCCTTGCCTTGCCTTGCCTTGCCTTGCCTTGCCTTGCCTTCCCTTCCCTTCCCTTCCCTTCCCTTCCCTTCCCTTCCCTTCCCTTCCCTTCCCTTCCCTTCCCTTCCCTTCCCTTCCCTTCCCTTCCCTTCCCTTCCCTTCCCTTCCCTTCCCTTCCCTTCCCTTCCCTTTCCATCTGTGATTTGTGTTTAAGAAGTTGCCCAGCAGAGAAGTGACAGTGTTACCCCAGGTGTACTTCAGTACAAGACAGTGCTGCCTTTCTCCTTTAGATGCTGAATGCTTTTCTTCCATAAAAGCATGACACGTTTGCCTCTCATTTTCACATCAAATCTAAATGTTTTGCACAAACTTTGCCTTTTTTCTTATTTAAAGACAGGATGCAGAGTCCTCTGGGTGGGGAGGAGGAGTGGGGTCCTGCAGTGTAGCATGGCCAGTGCTGGGCTGGGGGTGAGGGCAGCTGCTCCCTATTGGCACTTTGTCAGCTGAGGCTTCAGATCCTCCTGCCCTGCAAGCAGAGCACCAGGCAGGGACACAGCCAGCTCTGCTTGGGGGAGCAGTGCCTACAGGGTGCGAAATGCACAGCATCTCTGATCCCAGCACACAGCACACAGCAGGAGCTGTGCTGGGAGTGCAGCAGGGCGAGTGCCCCCTCAGCTCCAGTCCGCCCCCATTCCACCTCCCCTTGCAGCCCAGGAGGGCTGGCTCTCCCTAGGGCCTTTCACCTCTCACTCTTTTGCCCTGGTTCAGTTTCTGGGTGTTTTTGCACAGGAAATGGTGGTGTTTGTTTTCCTGGCAATGTGGGGACTCAAAGCACAGTGGTTGGCACACGGACGTGTTCTGCCTTTCAGGTCAAGCTGAAAACAAGCCAAGCCCTAACAGTTGGGTTGGAGGAGGTGGATTTCCTTCTCCAAAGCAGCTGCCCGTGTGTCTCAGTCCTAAGCTGCTCTGTCTGTTGCCCTCCTTGCCACCTTTCTGCACTATTTAGCAGAGCCCATCGCCTCTGTTGGGAAAGAGGTGAAGATAAAATGGGAAACAGGTGACCAGCACCCACGGGGTGATCCGACTTTGCTCCTCACTCTGTGACGATGGGGATTCTGATTTCCCTCTCCCAGGGATGGACGTGAAGGGAGGGCATGAAGCTGACAGCACCAGGCTCTGCCAGGCTGGGAGGTCAAAAGCACAAACCAAAACAGAAGCACAGAGCACTTTATTGGTGGTCACGCATTGGCACTGCGTTACAGACAGCTAACGGTCTCCACTTAGAGAGAGATTTAAAGCCCCAGCAGGGAGCATGGATAAACGAGAACCCCACCATGCACCCCAGCTGCTTTTGTTTTCCTGAAGCAGCAGTGCTGCTCTTACACAAGAGGGCAGAGGAGGTGCCTGATGTGCTCCACATCCTCAGGCCATTTTAGTGTGCTGCAGGCAGCCCCTGGGAGCACAACAGGAAGCTGCAGGCTCAGCCCTTGGCAGCAGCTCTGTAACCATGAAACTGGTGTGAAGCTGAATAAATGCAGCAGGGCTTTTGGCAACCCGTGTCTTCCCTGCAGCCTCCGCTCAGCTCTGCTGCTGCCTTGGATCCAAGTGGAACAGAGAGCACTTGCTGAAACATTTCCCTGCATAGCTTCACACTGCCATATGTCAAAGCTCAAGCACCCATGCGGGGCGCTCAGCTGGATTCTGCACAGCGTCAGGCATACAGGAGCACCAGTTATACTGGTTTAAGTCATAATTGTGCTCTTAACAGAGACTGGGAGCAGAGTCCACAAGCACATGCCAAGCAGCATGCGCAGGGCTGGCCTCTCAGCCAAGGCAAGGCTCACAGCAGAAGCTGCCAAGAAAAGAAAAGTTGCACCACCAGCTTTGTCCTTCCCTCCCCCCACCAACTGCATTCTTCTTCTCCCTTTTTCTAAAGTTATCCTTCCTATGGGGACCTTCACCAAGTACATCAGCATCCTGCAGGTCAAACAGATCATTGATATGCCCCAGGTGAGGAGGAAAAGAAGGCAGACAGCACCCAACACTGCTGCATGCTGACCGAGCTCCCTGCCTGAGCTCCTGGCAGCAGCTGCTGGAGATCACGCACAGCTTCATCCAGAACAAGGGGGGGGACCTACAAGCTCTTCAAGCACCCCAAGGTAGAGAGACTCACTGAGACGTGGCTAGCTGGAAAAGCAGCCAGCCTGGCACCGAAGCTCAGGACCTTCCTCACAGCAGCATACAGTGAGCTTTCCTCCCACCACCACCCCACCCCAGAGATGAGTTCCCCCAACCCACACCTGGCCAGCATCAGAGAGGAGCCAGGCCACCCCCAGTGGCCAAGAGGGGACTCTGTAAAGAAAACTTTCCCCACCCCAGCAGCAGCAGCAGCACATCAAGGCCTCTGCCCGAGTGATGAGCTGCAAAACACTGAGCACAGCCCCTCCAAGCCCTGCCTCCCACCTTCCAGCATGGGGGGTAGAGTACCGCCAAGAAGCAGCGCCCACCTTCCTCACAGCCCAGAGGTGCTTCTGCCCCTGGAATCTGCCACCACCTCCTTCACCCAGGAAGATGCTAAAGAAACACAAATAAACGGAGAACTGAGCTGCCACACCTGCACGATTCAACAGCTGCTCACCATCACACTGCTTCTCCACACCCAGGAAAACAGGCTGGAGGAGCTGCACCGCACCCAAAGGGGCAGCCTTTGGCCAACCAGCACCATCAAAGGAAGCCACTGCTTCTGCCAACAGCCAGAGGGAATGGGGCCTGGGGAGTACAGAGCCCACACCAGGCAGGGTGCAGGGGATTGAGGCTCTGCTGCATCCGAGGGCCAGCATGCAGCACTCACCTGCAGAGCTGAGGTCTGCCTGTCGGGTCAGCTCAGCCTCTGCTCTACATGGAGGGCACACTGCATCCTTCGGCTGAGCTCCATCACTGCAGCTCCTCAACAGGGAGATGAAGACAGGGCTGGTTGCCTTCCTCTGGGAGAAGAGCTGCATCAGGACATGAGGAGAGGGGCAAAGAAAGCAACTCCGGGGTGCTGAGCCCCTGCACCCCATTGCAGGAGGGCAGGGAGTGGCCCAGAGCAGGAAGCAGCACCAGGACCCCCAGCTCCAGCAGGGAAAGGCTGCTGGAAACCCCCACCACCACCAGCACCTCCCGCACTTCTCACTGCCAGAACCCCATCCTCCAGGGGAGCAGCAGGCACACACCTCCTCTGTGGTCCTGTTGTTTCTGGAACTGCTCTCAGGTTTGGGCTGATCCTTATGGCAGCCCTCAGTCGCCCTGCAATAGAAGATTTAAAAAAAAAAGGAAGTGAGATAGAACAGATTTCAAGCATTTCTTCCATTCTAGCAGCACCTTGTGTTGTTTTGTATCCCCAGAAAGAAGCACTGGGGCTGGAGGAGCATGGCTGCATCCTGCTCCCCTCCATCGCTGCAAGCAGAGGGGGCTGCAGCACCCACAATCCCCTTTTGCAGGGCTGGGGGCACCTCAGGGCTGTGCTCAGCCTCAGGAAACAGAGCAGAAAAAGCAGATTGGGAAGCCAATAGCGGGAACTCTATAAACAGCCCCCAGTGGGGTTAAGAGGCTTTGGGACCAGCCCTGCCCTGGATCCCATCCCACAGCAGGTGGGAGTCACTGCTTTGTTAGCACGGCTGGGACTCATTGGAGCCACCCCAGACCCTGCCCTTGGGGCTTGGCTCACCCAGACCAGCACATCCCCATGGAGGTCCCACTGTGTGTCCAGGCGGCCACCTGGCTGTGTGGGTTGTGGTGCTGGGGTGGGATGAAGGATGCACAATGAGGGATGCAGGCAAAAGGAGGGCGAAGGATTTGGGGTGGTCCTGTGCAGAGCCAGGTGGACTCAGTGATCCTTCAGGACATTCCGTGATTCTGGGATGCGGAAGGGCTGAGGGATGCAGGGTGCAATGAGGTGGGTTTGGATGCGTGGGCAGAGGACGTGAGGTTCAGGATGAACAATGTGGGATGCAGGATACTGATTGATTCTCTAACAGTTGAAGTATACGTAGACCCAGAAAGGTTCTGCTGACAAGTATTTTATTAAGCACACGTGCTAATTTAAAGCACCATGATACTCTTGCTGGAGGATCCACAACGAGGGGGTATTTGCATTAGGAACTGATCAGGGAATAAAGGCTGCCTTCTCCCACCTGCAGTGCTGGCCGTGGCTTTGTGACCAACGACCTCTATGAGCTGAGCTGAGGAAGGAGGACTGGGAGCTCCTATGGCCCCACAGCACAGCAATGGCTGAAGGCACAAAGCACCTCCCCTGGGGGAAGCTTCCAGCAGGGCGGTGGGATTCCCTGATCTCGCGTCCATCCCAACCCCCCGGGGTTCTGTTGCTCACTCCTCAGATCCCTCACAGCTCCCATTGCAGCCCGGCGGCTTCTCCACACGCGATGGCACCACACAGAACCAACCGTGGGCTGGACGCCCCCCGTGCCCCCCTGCGGTGCGCAAGGCAGGAGGGCAGCATGGCTGGGGCTCAGCGCCGCTCAAAGAAAGACGTGAGACCACGCTGGTGTTCCAGGGAGCTTTTATTGAGTTTAAATCAACAAAATCAGGATTTTATCATGTCTTATTTTCGCACTCTGAACTCGTGAAACTCTCCGCGAGTCGGTGCTGCGACACACACGCATCCAGAAATACATTCTCAACCAATTCTCAGCTCCGCCGGAGAGTTTGCCAATTGCCAATTTAACCAAACGCCAATTTTCCCCTCCCCCCCAAAAGTTTGCAATGATTTGTCCGTGTTGTTCACTGATTAACAGTAACATTCAACTTCCTGACAAGGGACCGGTGGGTTATGATGCCCCACCTGAACTGCAATATTTTTTTCTTCAAATAAAGTTGCTTTTATTTTTGTTTTTTTTTTTTTCTGTAACGGGAACAATGACTGTTTTCTTCTCCTGCCACCCCTTCCCTTTAATTATTGGTTAAAATACAGCAAGGCTGTATCTTAATAAACCCATCCCTCCCACCACCCCTCCTTACCCTTCCCTCACTTCGTCTAGAGCAGAATTTAAAAATGCTTCCACGCAGACACGTCAGCAACGCCGCAGGAACGGAGCCGAAGGCAGGGGACGATGCAGCACAGCCTCCAGGTGCTCTCTGGTCCAGA